GGGAGGAGAGAGAGAGAGAGAGAGGAGAAGAGAGGGAAGCCCAATCAGTTAAATCCACGGTAGCTTCTAGCCACCGGCTGACCAAAACCCATCAACACACGAGATAGTTGCCAAGCACATGCAAAGTGCAATAATTGGTTGGGGTGAGATATGTCACATATCAGAGGGCAGGATGAAGCCAGGGGTTTCATGATTTTAAAATATATTGACATGTACTTCCACAGTTCTAACAGCACTTGCCTGAAAATGCTCTTAGCAGTGTCCGGAGCTGGACGGTTTCCCAGTTTAAACTGGTTCCAATATTAGGTAAGCATATTAAGACCTTTCCATTATTACTGGGTCTAATTTGAAGGAATGTTCTCAGGTTCAAGGCCACAGCCAAAGCTGCCTGCACACACAAAAAAGTTAGACATGAGTGAGGTGGCAGAGCAACTGTGCACAACAATGAGCAAAAGGTTCGTGGTCGCCCCTAAACTAAGCATTGTCCGACTATCAACAGCAGCCGAGCGCTTTACCTTGCCATGCACGACCGCATGCTCCCCATGGAGGATAGCTTTCCCTGGTGCAGATAGTGTCAGGGGCTTGGCCAACATTTCCACTGCTTCTCCTGCAAAGCAAAAAAGGCAACAGGAGTTTGAAGATCTACAGCAGAAGGGCTCACGCTGGGGCGATAGCTCAACTGCCCAAGTCTCCTGATCGCCATTGGTACCAGGGAGCCAGCAACCCCCCAGGCAGGGCTCAGCCTAACCTGCCCAGCACCCCATGCCACAGGCCCCAGTCAGCCCCCAGGCACACCCCCCTTTTCACACTCCATCCCCCCCGGCACGCCCCCCCCACCCCATCCCCCCAGGCACGCCCCCCTTTCCACACACCCGTTCCCCGCAGGCACGCCCCCCCTACCACCCCACTCAGCCCCCCCGCCCCTTTCCCCCAGGCACGCCCCCCCCGGGGCACCGCGAGGGCGGGGCCTCAGGCAGGGGAGACGCCTGGGCCTCTAGCCCGACACCCACCAGGGACTGAGGCCCCGGCCGCACTAGCCCCGCACCCCTGCCCCGCACCTGAGTCTGGCAACCACCTCCCAGGCTCTACAGCTGCCCCAAGAGTTCCCCGATAAGCGTCTCAGCGCCCAATGGGGAGGGACCCAGCGCCTGTGTCACGTGACACGGCCGAACCAATCACTGAGCCGCCCTGGGGAGGCGAGATTTCTGTCGGGCCAATCGGGAGCCGGCCGGGCCGAGTGCTGCACGAGTCGGGTGACAGCGCCTGGCGCGGCCACGGGGGCCGAGAGGGGTCAGAGGGAGCGGGGCGCGGGGTCAGAGGTCAGGGCGCGGAGGCCGAGGAGGGACCGCGGCAGCCCCATGTCAGTGGTGCTGGGCCGGGGCTGCCGCTGGTTGGCGCTGTGCAGGCCGCTCCGGGCCTGGCTGCGGACCCGGGGCAACAGTCAGCAGGGAGAGCCGGCCAGGTGAGCTGGGGGGCTGCGCC